AGATTTTTTTTTTATTTTTAACCCTCTTTGTAAACTAATTTTAAATTTAACATTATTTATTTTTTTTAAACTAAGAGCATCTACAAGAGTTTGCTATCTTAATTTGGCATCCATATAATTTTGGTAAAATAAGAAAAAATAGCCTCCAACAGTTTAGCAAAACAACTTGGCATCAATAGCAACTTGGCAAATCTTCCCTCCGCGCGTGCAAATATACGCGCGCGTATACGGCTTGGCATCCGTGGCTCTTCGTTTCTTAGCGGGGCTTTTCGTTCGCTTAGCGGGGCTCTTTGTTCGCTTAGTGGGCCTCTTCGTTTTGTTAACGAGTTTTTTTATTTTACCAAGTCAAAAATACCAAACTCTTGGGAATGAATTGTTTTTTTACTTGACATATAATTTTGGGAGTTGGTAAATCATAAGATTTGCCAAATAAAATTTGATAAACTCTTGAAGATGCTCTAACATTTTTAGTGACGTCTATTTTTATGGCGCGGCATAGTGACGTGGCGAGAGGCTGCCGCGTCGTGGATCTGAACACGGCACTGCCCCCACGGTACATGGCGCGGGAAGCCGCCGTAGGTGCAACAGCAGGGCACTATTGTGCCTGTGCCTACTGTGGCAGCCGATGAAGACGCAACAGCAAGCCACTATTGTGTCTGCACATGTGCCTACTGTAGCATCCGATGGAGACGCAATAGCAGGGCACTCTCTCTCCTCGCGTGGTGCCTGTCAGCCTGTGCTTGCTTGCTGGAAGAGTTGCTTTTCCATGGAGCTACCGTCACTCGGTTGCTCAGTTTTAGCCTTGGTTTACTGACCGTTAAAAATTCTCTACCCACGGGGCGAGTGATTTTTGAGCCGTGACACTCTAGTGTTGGACGGTGCCCCCAACACCTGATCGGCAACAGATTAAAAATCGAGTGATTCTGATCCATACAATACTTGATTTTCATGACCCTTAGATCTAGATCAAATAAACAAAAAAAACTATCCAAACAACACAAATAAATAACTAGATTATTTTTATGTAAGTCAAATTGAAAAATATTAAAGAAGAACCAAATAAAACATAAATAAATAAATAAAAACCCAAAAAAATAGCCAGATTATTTGCATGGAAGTCAAATTGGAAAATTTTAAAGGAGAACCAAATAAAACATACAGAAAATCAGAAAAAGACCCAAAAAAAAGATCAGATAATAGTTTGCTGACTATTCTTATTTACGAATAATCAATTTACATCAGTTGAACACTGAACTTACATCCAAACAAAAATAGTAAAATATGGTAAAATAACATGTAATCTGCAGAATGAATATACATACAATACATAGCTAGAGGCTAGATGATTTATGGGGGCAGCATGTCCCTTCACTTGTAAAGCAGCAGACGACTGCATGCACTCCACCGGCGTGGAAGCGCATGGTTGCACACTCGGAGCAACATGCACACCTGCAGTTGCGTCTCCATCGGCTGCTACAGTACCACAGGCACAGTAGTACCCTGCTGGTGTGGAGATGGTGGTGTATCGATCCCAGGATCGAAACCTAGCTCTGGAATGGGAATAGGGTGGAATGTGTGTGACAATGATGTTAAAACTTGACCAACTATTATCATATACTTGAAATGCTAATACATAGGAAACCCCAGCCTTATAGGTACCTTTTGATTATATCCAACTTGCATCCAATTTCCACAAAGCAATGCTCATAGGGTGGGAGTGGCCAGTACAAATCGTACTGATAAATTTTGGCACACATGTTCTGCTGAGGAGTATAGCTCTGAGGAGTTTGACGATTGAGGGGTTCGTTTCTACGCTCGAGTTTGGCGATCTTATCTTCAAGATGTTCTGAATGAATGCTACTTTTGATTCCGCCAATGCAGCGATGTAATAATTTATATAATTCTGCACTATTTGTACTCTGATATTATCGTTGTATGGATGTGATATTCGACTGGAATTTGAGTAATATGATTTACAACGGTCTTATTACACTTCGACTCCGTGGATTTCTCTTCGCGGAAATCCGGTCGCTTCACTAGCGGCTCAGCAAAACTACTTTAGTTTGTTTTAGTTCCGAAGACAATTCAATTTTCAATTCTAGATTTTTTATTATTATTTTCTAACTTGTTGGAGCTATGGACCTTGCGGATGTAAATTGTTTATTGCATATGAACCTTAGTGGATGTAATTTGTAATCAATTTATTTAGGCATTGTTATGAGTAGGGCTGAAAACGGTACAGATATTTTTCTACCGTATCCGAGACCGAATCCGTTTAGAGGGTTTAGATCTATCCGTATCCGAGTCCGGATATTCAACATTGGTAATTATTGGCACACGAAAGAAATGGATATCGGAGATTTCTTTCGACCAATATAAAACACTATCTTAGCCACATCACGAAAAAGATCTATAAAGTAGAGTTTGTGAGCCTGCGACATCGCGCTCTCCGTGACTTGTGTTAATTTCACACGCTTTGTTTTTTTAGATTAAATGTCACTTTAACATTGATATTTAATTTTTATAGTATTGTTATCTTATTATGTGATCCGTGTGTTTTTATATAAAATGTTAGCTATCCCGTAGCAACGCACGGGCACGTTACCTAGTATCTTATATAATTATAAACTTCATTGGTCATTGTATCTCGATATGTAAGTTGTCCACCTCAACAGTCCAACATCACATACATTTAATTATCGTCATTACTTCATTAGTATGCTACGTCATCCATTTAGTCTAACTTTATCCTAATTCATCTGTAATTTCCGCAGCAACGTGCAGGTATGCTTCTAGTTAATTAATATATACCATCACACTATTACTGATAAGAGGTCTCAGAGAAGTTTTCACGTTAATTTTCACAAGACAAGCTAGGAAAAAAAGTAAATCTAAAATTAAAAGTCATTGGTTCAATTCTATTTTCTAAAAAAAATACCAACCCTTACCATTAGAAATAAAGAATATAAAAAGCAACCCTTTAGATTTGCATCTAAATCCAACTTTACCACTTGAATATGTGCCATAAATTTGCGTCTAAATAGATTCAACGATCTTTCTAATTATACCAATTATGTATCATAAATATTAAATATATATATATATATATATATATATATATATATATATGTAGTGGGAAGTTGAGTATATTTTGATTTCTCGGAAAACGAGAACGACGAGAATACAACGATGGCAATGCATTTGGCTCCTCTACTCGAGATGCATTTGGGCGTAGCATGAATTAGCAACGTCCCTGTTTTTCTTTTCCCAAAACAGAACTGGTTGCCTGTTTAAGTGTTAACATCAGAACATTTATGTAGCATGTGACGAAGAGATGAAAGCACGTGATTTCTTAACGCGCAACTCTCCCCTTGCCTCGTTTGGTATGTATGTGTTCACGACAGATCGGTAGCTATCACCGAGAATGCGTACCAAACAATGCCACCACGCATGTGCCTATCTAGATTTTTTTTTATTTTTAACATTTTTTGTAAACTAATTTTAAATTTAATATTATTTTTTTTAAAACTAACACTTAACACTTTTGATCGTGTCTATTTTTATGGCGCGGTAAAACATATGACGTGGCGAGAGGCTGCCGCGTCGTGGTTCTGAACACGGCACTGCCCCCACGGTACATGGCGCGGCAAGCCGCGTTAGGTGCAAAAGCAGGGCACTATTGTGCCTGTGCCTACTGTGGCAGCCGATGGAGACGCAACAGCAAGCCACTACTGTGCCCGTGCATGTGCCTACTGTAGCATCCGATGGAGACGCAATAGCAGGGCACTCTCTCTCCTCGCGTGGTGCCTGTCAGCCTGTGCTTGCTTGCTGGAAGAGTTGCTTTTCCGTGGAGCTACCGTCACTCGGTTGCTCAGTTTTGCCCTTGGTTTACTGACCGTTAAAAATTCTCTACCCATGGGACGAGTGAGTTTTGAGCCGTGACACTTAGTGTTGGACGGTGCCCCAACACCCGATCGGCAATAGATTAAAAATCGAATGATTCTGATCCATACAACACTTGATTTTCATGACCCTTAGATCTAGATCAAATAAACAAAAAAAACTATCCAAACAACACAAATAAATAACCAGATTATTTTTATGTAAGTCAAATTGAAAAATATTAAAGGAGAACCAAATAAAACATAAATAAATAAAAACCCAAAAAAATAGCCGATTATTTGCATGGAAGCCAAATTGGAAAATTTCAAAGAAGAACCAAATAAAACATACAGAAAATCAGAAAAGACCTAAAAAAAAGATTAGATAATAGTTTGCTGACTATTCTTATTTACGAATAATCAATTTACATCAGTTGAACACAGAACTTACATCTAAACAGAAGTAGTAAAATATGGTAAAATAACATGTAATCTGTAGAATGAATATACATACAATACATAGCTAGAGGCTAGGTGATTTATGGGGGCAGCATGTCCCTTCACCTGTAAAGCAGCAGGCGACTGCATTTACTCCACCGACGTGGAAGTGCATGGTTGCACGCTCGGAGCAACATGCACATGATGCACTTGCAGTTGCGTCTCCATCGGCTGCTACAGTAGCACAGGCACAGTAGTGCCCTACTGTTGCGTCTCCCGTGGCTTGCCGCGTCTAGATCCGTGGTGCGACAGCCCCTACCACGTCACCGGTCAGCGCCCCGGTTGTCGCCATGTCACCCCTCTCGCCGCGCCACCATGCATGACGCGGCACATGCGCTATAAAAATAGACGCGGCTAAAAGTGTTAGTTTTGAAAAAAAAAATTAAACAGTGTTAGATTTAAAATTAGTTTAAAAAGTGTTAAAAATAAAAAAATCCCTATCTAACACAATCCAGCATTCCGGCAGCCCCATGCTCGCGCAGCTTCGCTTCCACGCACAGCCACATGTTGCTAGTGGGGTGGACGTGACTCATGATCCTCAGTCCTCACATAGCGCGCCAGCCAGCCGCTCTCTACTTTAGCCAGCACGATCAGCGTCAGGCGGACGCAGGAGCAAGCAAGATGCCCAAGCTAGAAGACGACCGGAGCAAGAGCAAAGACGGCGAGGAAGCGGCGGTGATGGAGTGGCAGCTGGAATCGGGCGTGGTCAGCAAGCTGTACGATGTCTTCACTGTCGCCGGCCTACGCGTCGACGCCATCGAGCCCGGCCGCGCGCTCTGCTCCTTCACGGTGCCGCCTCGCCTTACGGTACGCAAGGACTATACTACTAACTACAGTACATATATCTTGGCCGAGGAGACTGCTAGCTACTGCATGGCTTGTAGAGTTGCATTTGGCACTTGCAGAGGTGAAGTTTGTTTAAGGTAATAAAGTAACTTGAGAGTTCCCTGTCCAAAGAGATTGATTTATTCACGGACAAAGGGGTAACTAAATGGGGGTTAACTTTTCTAAAGGGTGAAGTTTGTTTAAGGTAAAGCAACTTGAGAGTTTTCTGTTTAAAGAAATTGATTTATTCACGTACAGAGGGATAACTTTTCTTAAGGGGTGTGTATGTTTATGATTAATTAGCTCCTAAAAGTTTGTGATAGCTAGCTATTTCTCTTTTTCCCTTTAATTATTTGTTTATCTCTTCTAAATTCAAGGGCTCAAATTTATTAGAGCTAGTACCACCTAGGAGTACCATAGCATAGTCCAAATTAACCCCAAGAACTACAAAATTGCTTGAAAATAACAACAGATCACAAAGAAACTATTCTAACATAGGACTCTGCACCCATATCTTTTTTTTAAAAAAAAAACTCGACTCGTATATGGACAAGCAGAAGGAGAAATCTCATTACCGGAAGAAATTAGATGCATACAGTATACATCCAGGCTCAGTGCATACTACATGCATCTAATTTTCTTCCTCATTACTAGGGCGGGCACGATGGACAATATCGAACTAATTTGGAGAATAACCGACCTGAGATGCTGTTCTAGGGGTCAAATGGACAAGCGTATTGTTCATGGTAGTAAATAGTGTTTTTTTCCATCTCATCCCCGTCGTCTATCATTAGAATAGCGACATGCATGATTGATCCAGTATGAAACTTTAGCTAGCAATACAACATATGGGAGGAACAATGATGTGTAGGAAATTAGATAGTTTTCACAGGAAATCTAGTAATCAACATCGTATATTATATTATGAATCCATATAATTTTAAAATAATTTTGACCAATGGTGATATATATTAAGAACGAGCTAGTGTACTTATCTGGGATCATATTATGTACTAGCACGTGTAGAACTGAAATCACGAGATGTACGGATCTGAAGAACATGTTTTTCCCCCCAGCTTTCTAACTGATCTTTCACATTTTTAGATAGGCGCTCCTCTCTAAATTTCACATTTAACGTGCGCGCGCTGTGTGCACAGTGCACTTGATGCGGCAACTCAAGTGGGTCGATCTATGTATATAAACCCTAAAACGCTGTAATAATAATCTTCCTTAATTCAATGAAATACAACTCTCCTGCGCTTTCTTTTAAAAAGTTTCTTTTAAGAGTTCGAGGGCAAACAGCCCCAGCCTTCCAACCATATATTAGCAAAAAGACCAAAAGTCGATTACAGCACAGGTTTTAAGCCAAGATAAGCCTCACACCAGCCAGAGGAGGACGCACCACAGGTAGCACCAACTACAGCTAGAACTGAAGTACTCAGAAACTGAACATAAAACTGAAAGGCCACAAAGGCCGCCGAAACAGCAACTTCAGATCGAACGGATGAGGCCATTACGCCTCCAAAAAAACCTTCAGAGCAGTCCACCAGGGCTCCAAAGCGACTTGGTTTGAAGCCAGCATGCTGATGTCTTTCTTTCTTTAAAAAAGTGCATAATAGTGATTATCAATTTCAATATTCATCTAGCGCTCGGTACATTTGTCCTGATGTGTTCGCTCATGCACATGCTTTTACTTGGAATCTTGGATCACGCGAAATCCAAAAAGGATAAAAGCAAGCGCATGCACGGAGGGGCCTTGGCATCTCTGGTGGACCTTGTTGGGTCGGCCGTCTTCTACGCCGGCGGCTCGCCGACGACGGGGGTGTCCCTGGAGATCACCATCTCGTACATAAACGCGGCCCGTGCAAACGTGCGTGAGAGGTCCTTTTTCTTAGATCTTAATCAACATAGCAGCAGTCAAGTTAATCAAATGCTGCTCTAACGTGCATTCATTGGTAATATACATGTATGCGTCCTGTGCAGGAGGAAATAGAGATCGAGGGGACGGTTCTGGGCATCGGCGAGAAGACGGGGTGCGTGGTCGTGGAGGTCAGGAAGAAGAGCACCGGCGAGGTGATTGTGCATGGTCGCCACACCAAGTATCTCGCTCTCGCCATTTCCAGCAAACTGTGATAGATGATGGATAAGGAGCAATCTTATGCCATGCATGTTTCCAATCCAGCATCATCGTTGAATTCTTGTATCATGTCACTTGATTTGTGCAATGAGTAAGCTAGGGCAGCTGGCGGAGAGCCCGCGATCGCAGACGCTTTAATGGTTTTCAGTTTTCACAGCTGCTGTCCATACCACTACTACAGAATATTTATCCGTGTCGGGTGTTTTGGGTTTCCCGCGGTGGGCAAACCGGTCCGCCGCCGCCGAAAGGCCACGGTAAATCGTGGCTTCCCGCGGCGGACAGCTTTGCCCGCCGCGGTTAATCGATTTACCGCGGCGGCCACATAAGAACTCCCGCGCGCAAAATCGTTCAGAAAAAAAAAAAAAAAAAAAAAGCCACACGGTCTTGGATCCGGGCCCGCATCGAACCTAGATCCCGCGCCGCCGTCGATCCACCGCCGTCGATTGATCCGCCCAGAGCTCCAACCCGCCGCACCGCGGAGGAGAGGAAGGCCAGGTGGGCGCCACGCCCACCGGATCTGCGCCGCCGTCGATTGGGTGGGAGGAGACGACGCCCGCCGTGGATCCGCAACGTCACGGCGGGTTGGGGCCGCCCCTCCGTGGATCCGTGCCGTCGCGGCGGGTTGGGGCCGCCCCTCCGTGGATCCGTGTCGTCGCGGCGGGTTGGCGCCGCCCCGCCGTGGATCCACGCCGGACGGGCCACGCCGCTGCTTTCGCCACCACGTCGCGGAGGAGCACCTGTCGCCGCTGCTCGCCACCGTCGTCGGGGATCTGCAAGGGTGCGAGTGTGAGAGGGACAAGATCCACCATTGATCCGAGAGAGAAGAAAGAGGGCTCCACACCTTGCGCCGGATCCGCCGCCGCCGCCGCCGGGGCCTCCACGCCGACCGGAGGAGGGAGAGGAAGGGGCGCCGTCGGGGCCTCCACCGCCGCCGTCGGGGCGGCCTGACCTGGAGCGCGTGGGGAGGAAGAGAGTGGGGAGGAAGAGAGGGAGGAGGAAGAGAGTGGGGAGGAAGAGAGGCCGACTGCACGACAGGAACAGAGTGGGGAGGCTGACTGCGCCCCCCGAAACCCTAAGTATACCTATATATACGTGTAGACGAATATCGGGCCAGCTTGGGCCTGATGGGCCTAGGCCTTTTCCGTGGCGGGCTTTTAACGTTGTCCGCCACGGTAAATTGCCGTGGCGGACACCTTACGATGTCCGTCACGGTAAACAGGGTATTTACCGTGGCGGGCATCTTAATATGTCTGCCACGGTAAATCGATTTACCGTGGCGGGCAAAAGTGCCCGATGCGGTAAATAAAAAATGCCCGTCGCGGTAAATCGTGGGATTTACCGCAGCGGGCAAAAATAGGTGCCCGCCACGGAGTGCAAAAGTGCAACGCTGCGCATATTCGTTTGTGTAGCAGTGTACCTCCACGCCTTTAAAAGTTTTTCCCCCAATAAATGGACTATACATAAATAAACGACCTCAAAAATCATGGACAGTGGGCTTGCGGAGCCCAATGAGCTGACCAACAATGCGGCCGTGGGCTTGTGAAACAACTTGCGGGACCCCACGGGATACGAGTTTAGTTTAGTTCCATATTGGTATCTTAATCTGGTTGGCAACGTGGCTAGACTACAAATCAAACACCAAGGACAACCTTAAAACATACTTACCTGGACAGGGTCTATGAGTGATCAATAAGACTCATGGCCTAGGTTAGCAACCTCTATTGCACTTGGGTAGAGTGTTAGCCTAACATCTCCATAGGAGAGTGGATGTCATAATTTGTTGTAGAGGGGTACGCGTTCGCGCGGCCCCTACTAAATTGTAATCATATAATTTATTTGTTTAGATTTAGATTAAAATTAAGATATTTAATTTAGATTCAGATTGATTTAGATTAGAATTTAGAAGAATTGGAATTAAGATGAAGATTGATCAGATTTTGTTTAGACATTAGATTCAGTTTTTTTATTATAGATAAATTACAATTTATTAGAAAACTATCTCCCAATCCATGATTTTCCAAAACAATTTAAAACCAGAAGTATATGTAAGAGCATCTCCAAGAGTTTCTAAAACAATCTCCCAATCCATGATTTTTAGCAAGATTGAAAAAAATGTTAAATTACTTTCTATCTTTTAAGATTGATTTTTTAGAAACTGTTGGAGAAAGCTTTCTTTGGTGCTCTCAATATTTTTTGGCCACTTGGAAAACTCAATGGTTTTGGAAAGAATTTTTTTGGTACTCTTGAAGATGCTCTAAAGCACGTGGATGAAACAACCACGATTTCCACGAAGGGAAATCCACAGAGTCAAAGTGTAATAAGACCGTTGTAGATCATATTACCCAAATTCCAGTCGAATATCACATCCATACAACGATAATATCATAGTACAATAGTGCGGAATTACATAATTTATTACATCGCCGCATTGGCGGAATCAAAAGTAACATTCATTCAGAACAGCTTGAAGATAAGATCGCCAAACTCGAGCGTAGGAACGAACCCCTCAACCGTCAAACTCCTCGGAGCTATACTCCTCAGCAGAACCTGTGTGCCAAAATTTATCAGTACGATTTGTACTGGCCACTCCCAACCCAATGAGCATTGCTTTGTGGAAATTGGATGCAAGTCGGATATAATCAAAAGGGAACCTATAAAGGCTGGGGTTTCCTATGCATTAACATACCAAGTATATAATAATAGTTGGTCAAGTTTTAACACCACTCACACACATTCCACCCAATTCCCATTCCAGAGCCAGGTTTCGATCCTGGGATCGATAAACCACCATCTTCACACCATCACCATACCACAGCCATACCATCGCTCAGTCGACAGGCCAACTCCCTCTCGGCACTGTCTCAAGGCCCGTAGCCCCTGGCTACGTCCGAACACTCACTCCCGAGGGAGAATAGAAAGACTCATCTCACTATCTAGTTTAAGCGAAACCCAGGAAAGGTCCATAGCCGACAAGTCGGCATATGTATCGATCGATCAACCATACACTCTGCAGAGGTTTTACATAACCACAAGATCCGCCTTCCTTGCTGACCGTCATCAACTAGGCTGATTCCGGCCACTTGCTAGCCTAGGATAATGCCACTCTACCATTCAGCCCTGGTACACCCCAAGTCCGGTCTGGGGCGGCTGAAACTGTGAGTCATGAGCCGGGTCCACAAGGTCTCCATGAAGTCTCGGAAGGGTGTGGGGGAAATCCTCCGCACCCCGTACCTCCTTACACTGTCCGCTAACAACCTAGCAGTAGTGGCAATATCCTACCAAGTAGTCCGCCCGTCCCGCACCATATAGGGCGAGTGGTACATAAGGCTTCCCGGTGAATCTGAGTACTAGTAAGTCCTTAGTGATCACCAAGCCAGAATGTCTTCATTAGGGTTTCCATTTACCGTGCCACCATAGCACCTCCACCCTGGGCTCCTCCCATCATAGGATCACACCCAAGGCCACCTCATATACCATTTACCCACCACAGGTATCCATTCCAGGGGTGCCTAGGTAGCACCCCACGGCAAGACTTGCCCCAGGCTCGTCGTATACTCCAACTTGGTCGACACAACCCTCACCCTTCACGCACCCAAGTCACACACGCAGCACTCTCCCCATGGTCCAGATAACACCAGTTTCCACCACGCCTCCATATAGTGCAAGCGTAGTAGAAGTAGTAAGCAATAAAATATATTAGCAAGCGTGTGACTAGCCTAACATCAGGGTGAGCAGGGGTAAGGTTGTGTCAAGGTAAAGGCCATCAAGAAAGCATACTACCATGCAAGTCCTACCATAATGTGATCATGACAATAAAGTAAGCGCTAGCATTTCTATATTAGCCATGCGTAATAGTTGCTACGAGATTGGGTGGGATGTGGCACCTTCAGTGTAGTCGTCTCCGTACTCCTCACGGTACTCACGATCCTCGTCCGTCCGGTTCTCCTCTGAGTCTGCAAACGATCGCATTATAGTCACGTTAGCGACGTCTATGGAATAGCACAAAGAAGCAATGAAAATTCAAAAGAGCCAATTGCACTCAAACATGGGTTCATTGCGTAGAGCTCGATTTTAGATGAATTTTGGTCCTGGTTTTGTATTTTTCCGAGGTCGTATGAATTAGTTACGAATTTCCGAAGATTAAATCTATTTCTGAAAATGGAAAAGGCTGAGTTAATCCTGGGCTGACACGTGTCACGCTGTGGTTGGTCCACGTGGCTTGCTGACGTCAGCATCACGGTTCCGAGCTAACAGGTGGGGTCTAGCTGACGTCAGCATGACGTCATCAAACGTCATGCTCACCGACAGGTGGGGCCAAAGGCTATTGGGTCACTGACAGGTGGGTCCGGTCAAGTCAACGTCGGTCAACGTTAGTCAACGGTCAACGGTCAACAGTCAGTGTCACTGACATGTGGGGCCTGGGCTGCTGACGTCTGCAGCTGATGTCAGCGTGACGTCAGCATGACGTCACCCCGGCTGCGCTGGCTTTCGACGTGTGGGTCCCGCGTGACGTCAGCATGACATCACCATCTGACGTGTGGGCCCGGAGTGTTTGTGCCACTGACATGTGGGGCCAGGTCAACGGTCAACGTTGACCAGTCAACGGTCAAAACATGTTGGGTCCGAACTGGCTCTGGTGGGCTCGGGTTGGGCCGGTCTAGGCCGGGCCGACCCGGACACGTGGCGTGCTGTGGCTCTGCCACGTCGTAGTCGTGGGCTCTTACTGGGCTATGGTCCACAGGCGTGGTCCATGGTGGACGCAAGTTCACGGTCCATGGACCTAAGGCAGGGTCCATGGTGGACCAAGTCCATCCCTCTCCTCTCTCTCTATGGTCCACGTGCACCGGGTGCATGGGCATGTGGACGGCGAGGGGAGGTGTTCCCCTATTTCTTACCGCGACGGTGCTCCTGCCGGCGGCGAGCTCACGGTGAGCCCCCATGGTGGCGCTGGTGTCCGATTGGGGAGGGGAAAAGCTTCCCTGGGCCACGGCGACTG